TACCAAATAATTCGATTTCATACTTTATCGATAAAATATAAAAAAATTATATTCAATTTTACCACGAAATTAATTACCCAGCGTACAAAACAAAATCGAGACCCACATTTTTTATAGGTTAAAAAAAGAACAAAAAAATAGTTGTTAAAAAATAATTAAATAGAAACTGCCATTAACACAATTATTTTGGAACAATTTTACAAAAAATTAAAATTGAATAAATCAACCGAATTTACACGATCTTCATAATTACGGTATCTTAAAAATGTAAAGTTTTATGATCTAATTATTTCCTTAATTATCCACGATTTGAGTAATAGAATTCACAATAAATGAATAACATTTATTAAATAAAAATTATCATTAACACAATTTTTTTAGAACAGTTTTTAGCAAATCACATAATTGATATTGCAGTCTAAATTCCCATGCTTGGGTAAATCAATCAAATTCACATTATTTGAGTAATTAAGGTATCTTAAGAATAAATTACTTATGGCTTAATTATTTCCTTAAATAATGAGCCACAAATTTCGTAATTGATTATTGAAATATACCATAAATTGTTAAATTAATTTCTCGAAAGAGTAATATATAATGCATGTACATGTTTGTTTAATATCTTACGGGTTAAGAGAACGCAGTAATTAATCGAGGCCTAGTTCGTTTACGACGATCAGTATAAAACGAACTTCTCCTCTCTGGGATCATGTTCAATACATAAATGTACTAGCGCAACTAATCAGTCAAGACCAACTGTACCGTTGACACTACAACCGTTCTGGTGGGGTGTTCATTTCCATCTAAATTGTGAACCAGTAATTCTTGTTTCGCAAGTAACTGATAGAATGGTCTTCTGTTCACCCGATGATCAACCATTCTATCTAAGTGCAAAACAACAGAACATAGAACTTGTTTAATCGAATATGATTCTAATTCATAAAGGGAAAAAGTGTAATATCATCCAAAGTCAAGCTTTTAGTATATAACACTAACAACAAGTACAAATTTTGAAGAATCAAAGGCACAAATTGAAGATGTACTTGATGATTTATTGGTGTTTGATTATTTTGTTAAAATTTTAAGTTTTGTATAATGAGCCACATTGTTATCTTGTATTTTTTAAAATGTCTTGGATTTGTGTAAACAAGTACTTGATGAAGCAAGTTCCATGTATGAAAACTTGAGCTCCTATTTATCAATGCATCTGTAAGAAGCAGTTTTTTAAGTTCAACGTCCTGGATTTTAAGTTTTTTTTCAATGCATCTGTATTTGATGATATTGTTTTACATGAGTTTGTTTCCAACCCCCAAAAAAAGAAACTTGACTTGTAAGAATCTGTTTCTATGCTTATCATGTGTTTGAGATATTGGTTTCCAACCAAAAATTAGAACTTAAGATAGTACTAAAAACAACAACATCCCAACACAAAGTAATTAGGTTGCATATCCTATGTGTGCTTAACCTAAAATGTACAAAATCTCAACTCAAGTCCACAACAACAAAGACAATTGCCATAAGCTAAAAAGCAAGAACTTAAAACATATGCCATAACCAGATAAAACCATCATACGATAGTTATAACCAGATAAAACCATCAATCCATAAAACCATCAAACCATAGGCATAACCATCAAACCATAGCCATAATCATCAAACCATATCCATAACCATAAATCTATCACGGTAATTTATCGTCATGTAACTTTAATTTGTGTCATTTTAGTTATTCTCATGTAAGTTTTTCTATTAGTGCAATTCAAGTTATTCTATAAAAGTTTAATTAATATATTTATTTTTATCTAATCTTTTGCAGAAGTCACATGTTACTTCCATGATTGTCTACCTACTAGTATAATTGTCACATGCAAAATGAACGGCCAAGACTTATTTGGAATATAGTGTATGAGTTATCACTATCAAATGACAAGTTTACCTTTTCTTTCAAATTCATATGCATTGTTTCAGAAATGTCTTCGTAAGTCAAAAGAAATTCATTTAGTTAATTTTTACTTTTCTTTTACTTTTACTTTTATTTTTATTTTTACTTTACTTTACTTTACTTTTACTTCACCAAATTTACTCTTCGTATCTTATTCATATATACTGTGATTGGATCTATATTAAATTTATACAAAAAACATCTCTTAGCCATTTACTTTATCATTTATAACTTTGTTTTTCGTAAGTCAGTTCATTCTCGTTCACAAATGTCTTCAAGTGAAAACTCATCTACAAATTCAGTTCTAGTTCTGAATCTTCCAATTTCATCGAATTTGATGATTGGGAAGAACAAGTGGTTCAACAAAATTGATGACTTGATCGCATCATGGAAGATGTGATTGTTAGCATTCCCAATATGGTCTTACAACCAACAAATCACGATCCAAGAGCTAGAAGGCAGATAATTGAGAGGCAATAAGAGAGGGGAGAGGAGAATGTGTTCAATGACTACTTTTTCGACAATCCAACTTATCCTAAAGATGTACCTCGTCGTAGATTTCACATGCGTAAGCATTTTTTCTTCGTATAATGAGAGAAATCAACACCAATGTCGAATATTTTCAACAAAGGCCTGATGCCACTAGTAGACTGGTATTTCACCATTGCAAAAATGTACTGCAAAACATCAGCGGATGCAGTTGATGAATACTTGTGACAAGTGAAGTTGTAACAAGGGAATCTCTCATGAAACTCGTAGAAGGTGTCATTTCTAACTTCGACGGACAATACCTCAGAAGGCCTAATGAACAAGATTCGGCAAAAATACTTCGTGCAGGGGAGCAACGTGGATTCCCAGGAATGATGGGCAGTATTGAATGCATGCACTGGGGATGGTAAAATTGTCCTACTGCATGGGTCGGGTACTATACAGGCACAAGTGGAAAACCAATAATTATTTTGGAAGTTATTGCATCATATGACTTATGGGTATGGCATGCAGTTTTTGGAACACTACGTTCGTGCAACGATATCAATGTACTTCACCAATCTACTTTTTTATGATATTTTGGAAGGTAGTGCACCATAAATTAGGTTCTACATGAATGGTCGACAAAGTAATATGGGATATTACCTCACTGATGGTATATATCCTTCATGGGCTGCATTTATTAAATCAATTACTTCTTCACAACTTCGAAAGTACAAGTTGTTTGCTCAGCACCAGGAGGCGACTAGAAAAGATGTCGCGCGCGCATTTGGTGTTCTACAAGCTCATTTCGCATTTATCAAACGACCATGTCTTGTATGGGATCGTTTTTTTATGGGAAGAATTGCGATGACTTGTATCGTCATGCACAATATGATAGTAGAAGATGAACGAAACACCTACTTGAACTATTTTGAACCCATAGAATTTATGAATGATAGGCCTACAAACAGACGGAGGCAACGGCGTATGAATAGAATAAATGAAGTAAGAGAAGGGGATGATGATATGCCATTTCAACACTCGACTAAAAGAAATCACAAATCTATCCACATATATACTAATAGGTCACGACTTTGTAATAGAGAAACTGTTCGTTCCATTTTTGTTGTGTTTTCCATGGTCATTTTATGTTTATTCTCCCATCTTTTAGGTATGTTTTATTTATTGTTGAGTCCGTTTCATTAGTTTGTGGTTTGTTCGTTGTTTGGTTTGTTTTCCCGTTTGTTTTTCTCTTTCTTCGTGTTTTTTCTTGTGTATTGTGGTGCGTAGGTTCGATGGGTTACTTGACTTTTCGGTGGAAGGAGTTAGCGCTCGTGCGAAGAGGTTGAAATCGGGACAAGGAAGTGAAAAACGGGACCCAAAACGCAAGGGAAAAAAAATCTGGACTGCAGCACAAACTCGCGGCCGCGGAGCACCAAGTCGCGGCCGCGGAAGGTCGGGTCGCGGCCGCGGGATTTCCTTC